TAAAGCATCAATATATTAATAGTAACAAAATTGAATATTTTGCACAATAAAAATGGAGTTTAATACAAAAGCAGAAGGGAAAGTAGTAAACATATAATAAATAGATGATGTAAGTGCAATCATATCAATCATTACTTTCAATGTTAATGAAATAAACTCTGCAATTAAAAGTCAGATATAATAATAGATAAAAATATAACACAATTATATACTATCTGCAAAAAGTTTATCTTAATCATAAGGCATAAAGAGGTTGAAAATAGTGAAAAATGCATACAATATAAACCACAAATATAGGCTGATGTGGCTATAGTAGCATCAGAGGGAATAAAGATGGAGACAAAGAATATTAGAAATAAAGAGGTAATTTCACAATGATAAAAGGATAATTTCTCAGTGTGACTTAAGTATCATAAGTTTTTATGCATCTAATTAAAGAGTCTCATTATTACAAAAGGCAAAGCTTGGCAGAAACAAAGAAATAAAGAAATGCTCAGAGTGAAAATTTTAACACTCCTCTCCTAGCAATTAAAAGCATAACTAGTCAAAGAATTATAAAATATAGAGTATTCAAACAACACTATCAACTGTCTTTGTTTAAATTATATGTACAGGGCACTGTAAACAATAAAGACAGAATATCTTCTAGGGTGCACATGAATCACTCACCAGGATAAAGATATGCTGGGCCAAAAAAACAAAAGATTCAGAAAATGTGTTATGTTTGATATTATATGTAATACAATATGTAATGCATAAATAAATAGTAAATCAAAAACAAAGAGCAATCCAGGGACAGTTCAAATATTTTGAAATTATTCTTCATATCTTGAAATAAAACATGGGTCAAAGAAACAGTCTCAAGGAATTATTTTATCCAAATTCATGTCAGAAACAGATATTGCAAGCAAGATAAAACAAGACACTACTTCAGACTTATATCCCCCAATACCATAAATGAATAATCTTTCATAAAATTTAACTCATAGAATACAGCAATATATATATAGTGAAAGAGGTTTATCTCAGCAATGCAGCGTTGACTTAACCTGCAAAAATTACATCACATAATATAATCTATTAGTAGAAAAAGAGGAAACTAAATCACATTAGCATCTCCAAAGGTGTGAAAAAAGATTTAAGAAGATTCAACACATATTCATAACTCTCACAGAAAAAGGAATAGAATTGAATTTTTTTCATCTAACAAAGGGATTTTAGAAAATTGTACTCTCCCTGTCTCTCTTTTTCTCAGACATACACACACATACACACACTGCAAACTACAGAATGCTGACATGCATTAAAGAAGACTGAAACAATTGAAAAGATATATGGTATCAATTGTTTGGAAAATAAAATTTCAATTTACAAAAATTTGCCAATATACATACTTCAACTCCATGCAAATCCAGCAGGCATTTTGGTTGAAATTGGCAAGTCAATTCTATATATTATATGAAAATATAACTGCCAAAGCAAATTTAAGAAAGTAGAACTACACTGAAGTACTTACTGTACCTAATCTTGACTTATATAAAACAACAGGGTCTGGTGCAGTGGCTTATGCCTGTAGTTTCAGCACTTTGGGAGGCTGAAGCAGGTGAATCATGAGGTCAAGAGATTGAGACCATCCTGGCCAACATGGTGAAACCCTGTCTCGACTAAAAATACAAAAATTAGCTGGGCGTGGTGGTGCACACCTATAGTCCCAGCTACTCAGGAGGCTGAGGCAGGAGAATCGCTTGAACCTGGGAGGTGAAGTTTGCAGTGGGCTGAGATTGCGCCACAGCACTCCACCCTGGTGACAGAATGAGATTCCGTCTCAAAAAAATAAAAAGTAAAGAAAATTAAGAGTTGGTAAAACAAAAGACATATAAATCAATGAAACTGATGAGACAGTCCAGAAATAGACCTTCACACATGTTCAATTGCTTTTTTTATTTTTACTTTCATTAAAAAATTTTTTAAGTTCAGGAGTACAAGTGCTGGTTTGTTACACAATTAAACTTGTGTCATGGGGGTTGGTTGTACAAATTATTCCATCACCCAGATATTAAGCCTAGTACCCATTAGTCTGTTATTTCTGATCCTCTGCCTCCTCCCACTCTCTGCCCTCCAGTAGGCCTCAGTTTGTCTTCTTCCTCTATGTGCCCAAGTGTTCTCACTTAAAAGTGAGAACATGCAGTATTTGGTTTTCTGTACCTGTGTTAGTTTGATAAGGATAATGGCCTCCAACTCCATTCATGTCCCTGGAAAGAACATTATCTTGTTCTTTTTTATGGTTGCCTAGTATTCCGTGATGTACCTATACCACATTTTCTTTATCCAGTCTACCAATGATGGGCATTTAGATGGATTCCATATCTTTGCTATTGTGAATAGCGCTGCAGTGAACATATGTCTTTATAACCTGTAATTCCATAAAAAATGAGCAATGAATATGAACACATTTCAAAAGAAGAAATACATGTAGCCAACAATCATAAGAATAGAAGTTCAAGATCACCAATCATTAGAAAAATGCAAATCGAAACCACAATGAGATACCATCTAACACCAGTCAGAATGGCTACTATTAAAATATTTAAAAATAACAAATCCTGGTGAGGTTGTGGAGAAAAGGGAAAGCTTGTACGCTCTTGATGGGAGTGTACGTTGGTTTAACAATTGTGGGTGACAGTGTGGTGATCCCTCAAAGACCTAAAGACAGAAAACCCATTCAACTCAGCAATCCCATTACTGGGTATGTATGCAAAGGAATATAAATTGTTCTATCAATTGCTTTTTGACGAAATTATTTCATAATTCAATGTGGGAAAGAAGGAAAGCCCTTGTAGAAACTGTGCTATGGGGGAAAAGAAAGTATCAACACTTAGCTTACAGAATAACTTTTTGTTTGTTTGTTTGTTTTTAAATTTGATTACCCTAAATGTGAAAGACCACACTAAAACCTCCTCGAAGCCCTCCCAGGACTTGGGTTTCTTATATAGCACACAAAAACAGTAAATTATAATATTAAGAAAAATGAAGAGTTTAAGCTTTATGAAAGTGAAAAACGTTTGCTCTTTGTTTCCATTAACAAAGTGAAAATACAAATCATATGAAGGAACAAAATATTGCAACTCAATGTAAAACTCAATAATGAACAGTCCAACAAGGCAATGGTCATGGAAAGTAAAATGTCACTACTAGTTTGAAAAAGTTTAATAGTTTCTTAAAATATTAGTAAGCACTGACCATAAAACCCAGAAATTCCACTGCTAGGCATTTAACAAAGAGAAATGAAAATATATTAGAATCAAATACTTGTATATGAATATTCATAATAGTTTTAATCATAATGGCAAAATTTGCAAATAACGCAAACGTTCATCAACAGGTAAACAGAAAACAAAATATACTGTTTTCACCCAGCAGGACATTAGACTAGGGTAAAAGGAGATAGACTGTTGATAAAAGAAACCCTAGTATGGATCTCAAAGGTGTTAGGTTCTGTGTAAAACAAACCAATTTTGAAGGAGTACATACTCTACGATTCCGCTTATGTAACATTTTTGAAATGATAGAATTATGAAGAATGAGAACAAAATAGTGGTTGCCAAGCGACGAGGATGGTGTGTGGGAGGAGTGAGAATATAAAGGGATAGAATGAGGGATTTCTTTATGGTAATATAATAATTTTATATCCTGATTTAGTTGGTGGTTATACAAATCTGTATGTGGGACAGAATTGCATACAAATGTACACACACATGTGTGAATATATGTAAAGAAATGGTAAAAACTGAATATGGTATGTAGTCTATTTAAAGTTATATCACGGTTTTGATATCCTACTACGGTTATATAAGTATCACCTGTCAAATAAGCAGAGTGAAGCATTCAAAGGACTCTATGTGATAAATAGGGATGACTACTGTTATGCTGAACAACATAGATGAATCTCAAAATCATGTTGAATGAAAGAAACCAGTCACAAAAAATTGCATGCCATACGAGTTCATTATATAAAAAGGCAAATTAATTATAGTGACATAAAGCAGATCAATGTTCACACGGGCCAGCAACCAAGAGAAATATACACTGCAAAGCAATATAAAGAAGCTTTGGGGGTGATTGAAATGTTCTGGGTCTTGACTGTGTTTGTGGTTTTACAGGTTTGTGCAACTCTCAAAACTCACCGAATTGTACACTTTGGAATGATGCAGTTTATTGCATGTGAATTATTCCTGAATAAAATGATGTAAAGTAAAACACAGGAAGGAGGAAGGTGACATTGGGTGTTTCTATTCTACTCGTAATATATTAATAGAAGGAATATTTAATTTCTTTAGAAACATTGAATTTGCCTACAATTATATATGTGTTTATTTGTATTAAAAATAATAGAAAAAATTTAAATTGATAAGAAAATGCAAGATTTTTAGCCTCTGCATAAAAGTATTTCAAAGATTTGTCAAAAATATATCAACGAGTAATTAATTCAATTACATTCAATGAACTTCATTTGCAGTTTGCAAAGTAAATGTTTTCTCTCTAGTCAGGTCATAATAAGCTATCAAGAGGAACCAGTTATTTTGTATGTGTGTTTCTGCTGACTAATATAGTCAGCTATTTTTTAAAAATTATCTTTATTTATATAATGGATAGGAAAACTAAACCAGTGAATAATAATAAAGGTATATATTGCAACATTTATGGCATAATATTATCTTACTATCTTTAAGCTTATTTTACTCTAATTTATAATAAATTTCCTAGTGTAAATTTGTAACATTATTTTTACAATGAGCTATTTTTTTTTTTTTTTTTTCAGTCTCACTGTGCTGCCCAGGCTGGAGTGCAGTGGCATAATTTCAGCTCACTGCAGCCTCCACCTCCCGGGTTCAAGCAATTCTCCTGCCTCAGCCTTCCGAGTAGCTTGGATTACAGGCACATGCCACTGCACACAGTGCCTGATTAATTTGTGTATTTTTAGTAGAGAGGAGGTTTTACAATGTTGGCCAGGCTGGTCTTGAATCCCTGGCCTCAAGTGATCCTCCTGCCTTGGCTTCCCAAAGTGGTGGAAATATAGGTATGAGTGACTGCACCAGGACACATTGTGCTTTTTGTAGAATGGGTTTGTCAGAAGCAGACTCTGAGATGAAGAATTCTATGAGGGTGGTTTATTAGAAAGGAAGCATTTCCAGAAAAGACCAGTACAGAGTAGGAGAGTGGGCCTGAGAAAGGAAGAAGGGCAAGCACTTTTGTGATATTAAGTCCCACTGAGCTCATAAAGCAATGTAGGTTTTACTTCAGTGAAATCCAAATCAATTGTACCGAAGCAATCAGACATTAGCTAAGGACTGCCCCTGAGGCGATGTAAATTTGCAGGCACTTCCAGCTACACCTGCACTTGCAGAAAACGTGATCTCCAGGAGACTAAGGGCAGCTCTTCTATAAAGGCCCTCAGTTCCGGTTGTTGGTAATAAAAGCACATTGGAGAGCAGTGTGCACAAAACTGATGAAGGAATACGACGGTGAACAGACAAAGCAACACCAACATCTGTTGCAGCCGTGGATACACTCATGCCTCACACTGGATTCTCTACACAGATTTTTCAGAATGATAACTCGTCATGATTGCAAAGGGTCGAACACTACAAGAGAGCAGTTACTGCAATGAACTGTAATTCCTGTTGCTGAAGTTGTTGCCAAGGCTATAATTGCCAAAAGATATTTCAAGCCTCATCAGAACAAATCATTGCACCTTTGAGGTTGAAAAGACAGTCTCTACCATCCATTGTAGTCTATACTTCTGTAGCGTGTGATGTTCTTCTGAGTACCCTTCAGGACTCACATCCCTGTACTTCTGGTAACCATTCACTTGCCTGATAATTACCTGACCACAGTTCAATAATATATGGGATTATGAAGAGACAGACAGTGGATTCCCAGACCGACTTTTTCCTACTCACATTCAATGTCTAATATCCTACCATCTCATGATGATCAAGATTAAGAATTTGTTTCATTTATTTGCCTACTTGCTTATGGTAAGAAGCATATAAAAATGACCAGATGGCAGTGGTACATCTATTTTCAGTGGAAGTCTTAATGTGTTCCCTGGTGTTTCCCAGGAACTCTAGATACTGTGTTTAAAATTGTAAGGACAGGAAATATATATTCTTCAAATAAATTCCTTGCAGTGAAGGTGAGAAGAGACATTCTTACTTCAGCCCCTGGATTCCCAGACATGTTTATTCATTCTTTCAGAGGCATAGAACTACATAGTGGCCATTGATTCCTGGCATATACTGCATGTTGAAAAACAGTATCCTAAACACATAGTGTGCCATTGAGATAGGAGGCAGGACTCAACTCTGGAGGCAGGATTCAGACACTGACCAAATCAAGGACTCGCTAAAACAGGGACAGGGCAGAAGAAGCAGCTTTCTATAAAGATATGCCCACCTGTGTGCCATGTTTGTTTACCATTGCCATGGCAACACCCAGGCGTGACTGCCCCTTTCCATGGCCATGATCGAATGACCCAGAAGTTATTACCCTTTCCTTAGAAATTTCTGCATAAACTGCCCCTTAGTCTGCATATAATTAAAAGTAGGTTTACATATTTCTGCGGAACTGCCCTGAGCTGGTTCTCTCAGCACACTCACTATGGGGTAGCACTGCTCCGCAGAATCAGTCACAGACCTATAATACTGCCTGAGCTGTAATACCACTGGAGCCGTAACTAAGCCATTTTCTTCTACCACCAGCTCATTCTTGGAATCTCTCCTGGGCAAAACAAAGAACCCTCCCAGACTAAGCCTCAGTTTGGGGTTCACCTCCTTTGCATCACCATCAGGAGCTTCAAGTTGGCACAGTATGTATGTCTTTAAAAGGTCTTTCTAATGTTCTATCAATGGCAGCCCTAAGTAATTTACTATGAGGCATGAGCAGTAGGTTCCACGATGTCACACTTCTCATTGAAGAGCAGATATTTTGGCCTGTGCAGTGTCAGTGTTGTGTGGGATCCCGTGATAGTAAAGGAGATATTCTCTTAGTCCTTGTGTAGTGCTGCTATTTCAATGTACTATAGTGAAAAAGGCAAACTCTTACAAAAAACACAAGTTGATCCTGTTCAGAATAAAGTACTGCCCTTTAAAAGTTTGAAAAGCCTTACTGTAACAACTTGACACAACTTCTGGTGGATTTCTTTGAGACATATTGGAATTCTACATCTCACAATTTAGATTTTCAGTAATGGGAATAACCACATCAGCCTTGGTGAGAGGAAGACTATGTTGCTGGGCCTACACATAGCTGTACATCTACTTAATTTATGAGCCCACTGCTCAATCACTGAGAATAGAGGCTGGCTAATATCTATGTGATAAATATTTTTGTCCCCTTGAGGTTAGTGCTTCTTTTGAAGTGTATGATCTAGGTTCTGCATTAATTTGAGATTCAGCTTTTCTCAAACCTTGGGTACCATTGTTCCACCCACATGACTATTTCCCAGACCTCTTTATCTCTTTCTTCTAATATTGCTCCTTCCAAGCCCCCAAACCAACAAGCTAAGCTGTTAGCCATTGTCTAAAAGTGTATAAATATTCTTATCTCAGACTATATCACTCTTCACAGTGGATGGGCAGGTGCATCTTCTGAACTCTGTTATTTAGAAGATTTTTCACTCACCTCTGTCTTTCAAGGACCTCCATGCTTGGTGGTGGTGTTTTGTGGCAACAATCATTTTCAGCTCATAAAAACATACTGAGGTAAACTATACACAAACTAGGACCTGTTTTTCCTCCATCAGCAGATTCTAAAGAAATCCCTTCAGCACATAAATTTAAGCTAAAGGAGCATAATTAGTTGAATAGATGTTTATGACCTAAGGCACTGGCTATCTAGTACCGTAACTTTCTTTGTCCTTGCAACCTAATAGTCTTTATTTCAGGTTGACCATTTTTATTTTTTATTTATTTATTTATTTATTTTTTTGAGACGGAGTCTCGCTCTGTTGCCCAGGCTGGAGTGCAGTGGCAAGATCTTGGCTCACTGCAAGCTCCGCCTCCCAGGTTCATGCCATTCTCCTGCCTCAGCCTTCCAAAGTGTTGGGATTACAGGGGTGAGCCACCGTGCCCGGCCCGACCATTGCTATTACCTGGTAGACAGCTTGTGTGCCTACTCAAAGTTTGCAAATGACATATGGTTGTTTGTTGCAAACAGCACGGTTTTGTTCTTAAATCCTAGGTGTCTGCACTACAACTCGCTGTTGAGCTTTCAGTTTCCAAATGGCACACAATTTACCACTGATATCTCCAGTAGCACAACTGAATACATGAGGTCTCATGGAACAAAAAGAATATGCCATTGTACCCACTCACCACCGACAGCCTTCAATTTATCCAGTAATTATTCAGAGAAGTCCTTCCCAAAGCAGGCCAAAACCCAAACTGGCTTACCAAGCACAGAGTGGTGGTGTAGGAACTCCAGTATACAAAGATGTTTCTTTCAGCCTGGAGGATATCTCTTGTCATCCTCCTCATTCCTGGTATTCTAAAAGTGTATACATTATGGAAATCACTAATGTTTTGTAGAGTTTATTTTCCACCCTCTGGATTTTACCTTAGAAAGACATCTAGGGTTTTACCACTATGTGCTCTTCAGGTCTAATGGACACAATGTAACCAATGTATTTATGTGGTATGTACACATTTTCAAGGTCCTTTTGGAATATATTGTAGTAGAGGGCAGAAGAATAAGTGTAACCTTAGAACAATACCTTAAATTTGTAGTATTGTCCGAAATGAGTGAATGTTTTTTGTCCTAATGCATTTAAAAAAGAATATCTATACTAAATCCATAACATATAACCTATCAGGGCAGAGATAGTATTGATTAAGATTGCAGAGGTATACCATCATCTACAATAACCTATTTTTTCCAGGAGCTAGAATGTGAAATAAATGAAGACATGACAAGCACAAATAACCCTTTATCTTTGTGCCGTTGAAAGTGGTTTTGATCTCTGCCTTCCTTCTCAATATATGTCACTGCTTTTAATTTAAAATCTTGAGAAGCGGCAAAAATTAAAATTAATGCATTTTTACAGGTACTGTATATATCCATTGTGAATTTATACTGAGCCACTGCTAATTAGCTACCTTGGATGTATTGTAACCGATGAGAAACAAACTTTGGCCAGGCTTCTTCTTACTTTCTGTCTTCTGTCTACCTCTGCACAAATGACAATCCATAGTATCAATGTAACTTTGACAAAATGTCAAATATCTCTTATAAAATTTGTGTATTTCTTTTTCCCCAGTCTCCAGTTACTTAGGTGAATGACCACATCTTTTTGGAGCAGGAATGGAGGGATTATTACTGCATATATTTTCTGTGTCATGGTATGATTCTTCAAGAAATATTAGTCTTTTCAACTGATTATGTCTGGTCTGAGGAATATCTCAGATACTATATAAGATACTGCGATTTTTTCAATGGAGCAGCAGATATCAACCTAATCATTCTCTTTTTGATAACAAATGTATCATTAGACACTTTTGACTATTAATGAATTTTTCACAAGGAACACTATGCTCAATTGGCCACTGTCATAATTCTCTTTAGGTCATGTTCCATGCTTTCTATTTGATCCCAGAGTCTGTTAAGGTGATTATGTCTGTCATACATCTAGTGGTTTAGTGCTGCCACCTGACCGCCACTTTTTCAGCAGCGTTTTATCTACTCTACTGATAAGGAGACCAGATTAATAAAAGCATCTCTTAACAGTTCCCCTGGTTTCCTTAGACACTGGTGATTTGCTGAAGCTTAAACATTACTCTTCTTTCTAGTTCTGCTCACCTTATGATCAGAGCCTCTAAGTATTGGAGATAAAGGTCTCTGATCCCATGAAGACAATCTGAAATGCTCACCATGCCATGAGTTGGTAAATAGTTGGTTTGATAGCTTTGTTTTCCTCCAGGGCACCGGTGGAACTTAGCAAAACCAGCAAATGCAAAATCTTTTAGTTTTTAGACTTCAAGGGAAAAAATAAATTTGCAATTTTTTAAAAATTGCTTTGAGACGGGATCTTGCTCTGTTGCCCAGGCAGGAGTGCAGTGGTATGATCACAGCTCACTGCAGTCTTGACCTCCCAGGCTCAAGGGATTCTTCCCCCTTAGCCTCCCAAGTAGCTGAGATAATGGGTGTGTACCACCACACCTGGCTAATATTTTATTTTATTTTACTTTATTTTAACAGAGACAAGTTCTTACTATGTTGCTCGGGCTAGTATTGAACTGCCAGGCTCAAGCGATCCTCTTGCCTCAGCCTTTCAAAATGCTGAGATTACAGGCATAAGCCACTGTGCCTAGCTGCATTATGTCTTAAATTACTATTTTCTGCATATCTATTTAGTGGTAGATGTTTTTTAGAAACTATTAGATTCCCTTCAGTGTGAATCCCATCCCTATTACCTACAGGCATTCTCAGCTACAATAATGCTACCATATCGCATGAATAGTCAATACTCTACTTTTTTGGATGCCATGGCCCCTATTATTATCTGGCCAAAGAAGACTCGAGAATTCTATCCCGAGATTCTGCTACTTAGAACCACGTTGGAAACCAGATGTCTCAGTTTGGATTTCCTAGAAGCAAATGCTGAAACAAGAATTTAAACAGAAGTGCATAGGAAATATTCCAGGAGGTAGGTGGGGTGCTATGAGAGTGAGAAAGTAAGAAATCTAAGGAGCTCAGGCAAAGACACAATATCAAGCAAAGTTCCACAGGTGGTAACTTTGACTAAACGATGCTTTGGAGTTTTGGAGATAATACAGATCTTACATAAGTTGTGGTTATCAGGAACGAGAAAGCCAGAATATTTATACCTCATTGCCTATTTATTATTGTCTATGGGATACCTGCTGGAAGACATGTATTCCCTGTCACTTAAGGTTCTTACTACACAGGGGCATAATGAGATATGGAAGTCTAAGACAAGTGTCTGGTAAAGAGATGCAAGTTCTGACTGTTGGAAGTGAAAGCACACCAGAAGTCCATGTGCATGAAGATAAGAAAGGCATCAGAGTAATCCTTGGTGGAATATTGACAATATCTGAAAATGACATTGACATGTTTAGGTATTTGTGAATATTTTTAAAATGCTGAGTTTAAATGGGATATAACAAATTTTTAGTGGCTACAATTTATTAATAATTGTTATCTGTGCATTGAGATAAAATTATTTTTACAAGGTCAGCAGAGGGGATAGCTTACATACGTAGAATTCTGTATCAGTTGAAATACTCTGATATTATTTTCTATTTGCCTTTACTATTGTCTTTGTGTCAATCCTTGTATTATTTATTATCCTTGTATCCTTTGCATTCCAACAACAGTTGTACAGTTTAAGTAACCATGATAAATCATTAATATTATGATTTTCCCCCAAGCTGATGTTAGGTGGTCCATAAAACATTCCCTCTCAAGAGGTCCTGCATTGTGTTGTTTCCTTGTGTTTTAGTCCATCTGAAATATTACTATTACATTATTTTTACAGTGTCCATCATCAAAATAAGGTAATAGTTACATTTCAGATAGATTAAAGCATAAGAAGATATACTTTTGATAAATGAATAATTATTGCAATTCAAAATAATTACTTAAAAATTAAAATTTGGCCTATAATGAAGCATAGTGTCCCTACTAGAATAATAATGGATGTATTGGCTTGCCCTACTTGTGAAGGTGTGTGTTTATTATTGGGCTAGAGGATGAGGCCAGTCTAAATCTGAAGTGAATTGAAAATGTGAAACTCTATCCCCTCTCCAGAGGTTTCTTCAGATGGCTAATGAAAAGAAATTTTAAGTAAAA